GCGGTTCGCCCAAAAGGAGCCTTGAGGAACGAAACGAAACTTGGATCCGGCAATTTGGAAGCACTGGAATTAGATAGATGCCCAAAATCTAAGTTTGCTGCGTTTGCACGCGTTCGGATGTTACCGCACCAAGGTTGGGATGGCGCGCTTTGGTGGCTTACTCTAGCGTCTGTTCTGAACAGGGTGCACTGGTCACCTGGGTATGCTGAAACGTAATGAAATGTGACCAAAGATGGAGGCAAAAACCAGGGATGTTATATGGTTAGTATCTAGATCAAGATTTTGCGTAGTTCCCCTTTGATTTCCATTTTTTAAATTATGGGTAGCTTGTTACAGCTTGTCACAGTTCGCTTCGCATTTTGTTGTAGAGAGGAGGGGCTGAAATACATGCACGATATTCCTCGCGGTCTCGTGTGGAAAAGGACTATATTTGATATCTACATATCCTAGGATTCCATTCGGTTCACTACGGTCTGCTCCAAGTCTGCGTATTTCTTCGGAAGATGGCGGCTGCGATGCGGTCGAGGCCCATTTCCCGACGTTAAAGGCCGGGCTGAGCTGAGAAGGGAGTCGCTAGAACGAGCAGCGGTTGGTGGAGGAGCTGGGACAAACGCGGAGTCTGGGGAGTTCTCTGTGTGAGGGAGGTCGTGTCTGGTACGGGCCATTTCTGGCGGGGTCGTATTTTTGTCGGTTGGGTTTTCTGGTTCGTTGGCAGGTTCCGAGACGCGCGGCCTTTTGGAGGGAGTAGACGGGCCCGCCCGGCCTTCCCAGCGATTCGGTCGTTTCGAAGGCGGAGTAGTAATGGGAGTTGGTGCGGCCGCGGTCGAAGCCGGTTTTGGCAGGTACGTTAGATTAAGGACGCGAAGGGCCAGATGATTCGTGCCAGCAGTGCGACCAGCGACCTTCGCGGTGACACTGAGAAAGGCGCCCGACGGCGGTGTTTTGACCTTTTGCCAACGCTTGGTGTTTTCCAAGAAGCAAGTCACAGCGAACTGTACCGGAGCGGCCTTTAAAGCGTTGTAGACGGACGTTTCGACGGTGAAGTGGCGGGGTCCCGAAGGCTCAGGAGAGCCGTCGTCACTAGCGCGGACCGAGCCGATGACGGTCACCATAGGGCACTATTGTTCTGGCAAGTGGCGGCGGTACTCGTCAAAGTCGGCCACGTCTCCTGGGTGCCTAATCAGGTCAGCCGAAGCGAAGCTGCAGGGGTGGAGGGACATGCCTCATCAAGCTCAATGCCTGGATGCTGATTTCCAAATCACCGTCTGCGGAAAGGACCGTCGAAAAGCGGCCATCGGCATAAAAGAAGGTGTTGGGAAGGTATAGGTTTCGTTCGTCTCGCGTCATATAGACGTGGATGCGGGTGCGAATCGGCTCGGCGATGATATCAGGACTGTAAAAGCCGTCTTCGTCGAAGATGTTAATGTCCGCGCGGATCTCGGCGTAATTCGGAGCGTCCCGAATCGAATCGTCGGTAATGGTGTCGACAAAATCACGCAAGTGGATGATGCTCGAGAATGTTGGCTGTCGAGACATAACAAAAGGTGCTAAGCGGGGGCGTTTCGTGTCCGACGCTTGTGGATATTAAGCGTGTAAAGTGCCTGGTAGGTAAAACAGAAGAATTAAGTCGGGTGAACAGGTTTATCCTCGAATCTGGTGGGGCGGGTGCTCAAGTGGATGAAGGAACACCTAGGCACGGCTATATAGATCAGGTAAAGTGCAGGGACGACTAAACTACCGCCCAGGTGACCTGATCACACGAACAGGGGAAAGAAACTAACGAGTGCTAGGACAAAATGATAAACGGGCGGACGGAGGAACGTGGTCACGTTTAAAGTTTGAAGCTGAAGTGATTGGCTTGTTAGGCGATGTGGCTGAGTTAGCCGGGAAGCGACCGGTGCCCCGGGATAGGGGCTGGTTGCCGGTCGGCGGGCAGGGACAGCGCTTGTTTGTAATGCTCCGTAATGCGAATGGAAAAGCGAAGGGGTGGGCGAGGGGTTAAAGTACGGGGGAAGGGAAAGGGTGCAATGGTGTAGTCGATGCGTTTTGGAGGGGGTATAAGCAAGGTGGGCTGGAGGGCCTTTTTCGAGGGCCGTAGGTTGGTGTTCTAGTGCCGATAACATACGCCGTCGATTTGGTCGAATTCGATGTCGACGCTGCAGATGCGCGCAGAGCCGTTGCTTTGGACGAAGTCGACTAGATGTATCCAGCTATGGATGCCACCAACGACGCTGTGGACAGGATCCCGGCCGCCGGGTTTGGCGAGGCCGGCGAGGGTGATGTTGAAACCGCTCCGGCTCGAGAGGCCACCGGAGGGCATTTGCTGGAAGGATCGAAAGCCCGCGAAGGCCTGAAGTCGGTGAGGCGTATCTGGGGCGAAGACAAAGTTCAATATTACCAGTGGGCGAATCGAGGAGTAGGGTTTTGTAATAAACTGTTGACGGCGGCTCGCGAGGTGAGAGACTGGGACGAAGCTGTGGTAAAGTTGAACAGGTT